CCAGTGGCCACCTGGAGGAAGGAAACAAGAAAAATAACAAATTAAACTACTACACAGAGTCTGCACGACTGTAAAATGCAGTTTTTGTACCGTCTGTGTGCATAACATTGGTATCATTTAGAGTATAACTACATGTGAAAGCACGCAGTTAAGCAGCATTGTTTACCGAAAAGTAGCATCTAGTGGGGCGACACACCTCGGAATGGGAGGAAAAGGGGGATGCAATGTGACAACTTGAGTTTCTACACTGTTTAAGCCTACCTTAGCCTCTGGGAACAGCTGTGAGGTATCTGGTGACTCTCCTGCTGTTGGCTGACCTCTGACTCGTTCTCCCCCCACCCACCCCTGTCGCTCCACAGCGATCGTCTGGCGCTGCTGCAGGTCAGGGCGATCCTGCAACAGCTGGGGCTCGACAGCACCTGTGATGACAGTATTATCGTCAAGGAGGTGTGCGGCACTGTGTCCCGCCGTGCGGCTCAGATCTGCGGAGCCGGTATGGCTGCTGTGGTGGACAAGATCCGTGAGAACAGAGGACTGGACCACTTGGACATAACCGTGGGCGTCGACGGCACGCTTTACAAGCTGCACCCACAGTAAGACCCGAGATAAAAACACAATAGCCGCGAATTGCTAAAACCCTTCACACTGTGTTTCACTCAGAATGCAAAGACTCTTACTTTCTTGATTGCCCTTCACAAGACCACCAACCTCACTGGCCTTGAATGAAAGAAGTCATGCTTCCTCAGCTCCATGTCTTCAGAAATTAGGAAGAGCTACAATTACTGTGTTTTCATATCACAGTAATTTTAAAAAAGTCCTGAGCATACTTAACAAATACAACATGTACTTTTGCTGGTTGTCAGAATGTGACTCGATAATCTGACCCTAAACAATCCTAAACCTTGATGTCTGACAGGTTTTTAGGACCAGAACCCATAAAAACAGCCTTAACATAGCGACAGCCTTGGATTGTGACTCCGACATGACATTTAATGTCACCAATCAGGATGACGGCGTATTATCTGACTGAACAATCCCACAGATTGGCTACGTTCACACTGCAGGACTNTGGCTAAGTACTCGTTGTACAACACCATACTTTCTTTATATTGTGCATCAGAACCAACAGAAAACACTGCGGTCCAGTCTGTAGTCTATAGTTAGAAATGATGTGATTCGTCTGAGCAGAGCCACAAAGCCTTTAAAACGAGACGTCAGTTCTTTGGGATCTAACTGCAGTGGCCGTGTGTCCTCTCAGGAACGGGCAGCAACGCTTGTTACATGGAAGAGATGAGGAACATCGAGATTGTGGAAGGAAACGAGGGCCGCATGTGTGTCAACATGGAGTGGGGGGCGTTCGGAGACAACGGCTGCCTCGACGACATCAGGACGCAGTACGACCAGGCGGTGGATGAGAACTCGCTCAACGAAGGCAAACAAAGGTCAAGAGGCTTCCAGCATCAGACTGTACCGTAGTCATGTCATAGCAAAGGCACTGTGACTGTGTTCTACTGTTGAACAACTGAACTCATTGCTTGCTCATGTCACTACCAGAAAACTGCACAATATTTCAGTTTACCATCTCATTAAAGTCATTCAGTGTCATTAGTGAGAAAACGATCTTTCCTGGTGTGTTGTCGTCTCACTGCTCACTAAAGCCCACCTCCTCCTTATGTTTGTCAGGTATGAGAAGATGTGCAGTGGAATGTACCTGGGTGAGATTGTCAGGCAGATCTTGATTGATCTCACCAAGCGTGGCTTCCTCTTCCGGGGCCAAATCTCAGAGACGCTGAAGACCAGGGGCATCTTCGAGACCAAGTTCCTGTCACAGATAGAGAGGTGAGTAAATAACTTTATACTTAGTACTGATGGCGGTTCACCTGAGAGCGAGTTTGCTTTACCAATTCTAAGCATTATGAAATGTACACAGCAGTAATTTGTGCTTTTGATTTGAAACCACTGGAAAAAATGGATCCATCAAAACACTAAATTACAACATTTAACTACAGCATCAACACTAAACTACACCAAACATCACAAATTCAGACAAAGAGTGTCTGTGAAGCTTCTCAGTCATCCAGGTCACGGTTATTCTCGTGGATTAATCGTAGCAGCTGGACTTGTTTGAGTTCCTTGAAGACGTTTCACCTCTCAACCACGTCCACACTTAGCCACACAAGACCTTAACGAACCCCGCTGTGGCAGGAGGAGCACTAAGACTCACATAACGAGGGGGAGGAGCAACAAACCCCCAATTGAAACTGAAACTCAGGTGTTAATGGCTCCTTAAGGATATCTGGAACTCCCGACTAGTCAGTCAGAACTGATGAAGCCTCTTGGATGAGAGGTGGAACGTCTTCAAGGAGCTCAAGCAGGTCCAGTTGCTACGATTAATCTGCAAATCATACAGAAAGTATTCCAGCATCCACACAACCAGGTGAGCAACCTAGTGAGCACTGCTGAACGTTTACGTCCAATTAGTGCAATTTACGTGTCCTTTATGTGGCTTTATCTATTTTCCAGATTATTTAGCTTGTTTCTTCTGCCTCCCACTTTCCACTGATTTCTATGTAGT